GTTGCTTGATAAGCTTCTAAATCCAGGCTTCCATTGAAATAATTCTACCTATTATGACATCATCTTTTGTTGTTATTGAATAGAACAAGAATTACGAGTACAGACCCATTTTTCAGTTCCGTTTTTATTTGAGCGCTTTAAACGATACAGGTAACTTTTATATAATATACCATCTTGGTTTTTTCAGTTTTGATACGAGAAAAATGTAGAATTGTAGACATAATAGGATTCGTAGAAGAAATCGAATTGAGATATTGTGTTCCAAGGTAGTACTCTTCATTTTTATAGTCTTACTCGATCCGGCAATGTCATTCTCAGCTCAATTTAGTTTCAAGCATCAATTTTGAAAAATATTTCAATCAGTTTCTATGCTTATAGCAGCCAATCATTCCAAATTACCGAGTGATTCAAAATTATAAATAGTGTACAAAGTATGTGAACAGAAGAAACTTTCAATTCCAAATTGAGACCACATTTTATTTGTATAAGAAAAGAGAGAATATATGCATTCCAAATTGAGACCGCTTTTTCTACTATAAAATTTTCATTTCCAGACTGAGACCACTTTTTAAATCTAATTAATAATCATCGAACAGAAGTGGTCTCAATCATGAAACCTTGAGCGCGGAGATATTCCAAGTAGTCAAAATGCTGACGAGAAGCATAATGGTCAAGCCTTGCAAAATTAAACAGACTACTCTTCATCAACTAAGCAATGAACAAATTTTTGATCAAAAGGTGGAAGAATAACGCCGCGGTCATGGCACAGTGGATATTATGGGGTTAAACAGTTGTATGTATAATAATCGATATTCATCTACAATTGTTACACGTAGAATTACAAAAATCTTTTATTTGTTTACTATTCTTTTGAAAACTTTCGATAATGAGCAAAATTCCATATAATGAGGCAGAAAAGATGTAGCATTTTTGAATCTAAAAAGCTTAATCTGCTACGCAGTTTCATCAGACCTTCACTGAAATGTATCTTCTGATGTAGAGATGAAAATTCTGAACAGCTACTTCAACTCTAGATCGAATGACGGGGTCAAGACGGAATTTTCCGAAAACGACAACCACAGAAGTTGTTTAAAATCTGAGAAATATTTAGAATAGCATAGAAATTAGATAATTTAAACAAATATTGAAGAACAATATTATCTTCACTAGGAAAAAAATTACTGTTAGCATCACTCCATAAGTCTTCAACGTCATGTGATTACTTAGGTCAGCTCTGAGAGGTCTCATAAGAATATTCAGCAGTGAATCAGTAAGAAATAAAACAGATAAAAATAACTTTTTGTAGAAAGTTATTTTCGTATTTTCGGAACAGATCCAGTCCTGACAAAACTGCATAGTTGATTTCACTTTTCAGACTGAGCTGATCGTCGACTACTGCTGGTAAGATCATATAAGAATGTACCTAGATACATTTACTTGTTGACGTTGTCATCTTTCATCAACTTCTCGGTTATTTCCTGATTTGACATCATTTCTAGCTTTCTGAATAAACTCCATCCTGATTTTTGTGTTGTCATTGTATAAGTATTGGTTGGATCTGTTTTGTAAGCCCTAAACATTCAAATATAACAATGCTCAGAGATGCATGTCCGTAATAAAATTATACTAATGACTATAATGTAACTATAATACAACAAATGATCATCATTATAAGCGAATAAATTATATTAAGACCATATATTAAAGACTGACATAATCTTACTTTGATACATATTGGTAATGCATATATTTCGTCGTTATTCAATTGTATATACTTTGTATAACCTTTAAAAACTTGTTCACCATAACAGAAATAGTCAGGTTTATGTTCGTTCAATAATATTGCATAAAGTATGGTGATTGCTAATTCAAATACGTAATAACTACAATGGCAATCTTCATAGTCAATGATGGCTGATATAGTATCAGCTGAATTATTTACAATAATATTTTGTTCATTAATATCACCATGAATTTTTCCATATTGAAACAAATGACATTTGTCTAATGTATCAGTTTGAAATTGTTTTAGAATTTTTTTAACGATAGCTCGATGTTCAACACAATCAACCACTGATAATTCTTCTTCCGTTAGGTTTATGAACAATGATAATGACCATGGAGGAATATAATTATCATAAAATGAATGATGAAATGTTTGAAGAGCAATATTTATCTGACCAGTGACTTCACCCAATAATTCAAAGAGATTTGGCGCATATTCACCACAACTGAATATAATTTTACCTGTAACAGAATCAGAATATTTTCAACTATTCCATAGAGTAACTGTCTTCGATTTTTCATCCCAAGTTGCCATCTAGTTTAGAAAGAAACTTTTCCGAATAATTTGGAAAAATTTTCGTCAACTTTTTTATAAACGTTTTGGCGAAACTTAACAAAACCGACCTTAAAAAGTCTGACTGTATTCTGTCGTAGCGCTAAGTCTTAGTTACATTCTAAGATCATTCAGAGTTTCTCAGCACTCAATACTGAGAAATCTTTACGGCATACGCACCCAGTTTCTAACAGGAAGATAACTGCACTGTTAAAGAAAAAATATCAACCTCAATCAGCTATCGACTAATATGCAATGTCGCGTCGTTCTGAAGAATTGGTTCGACCAGCTTACCATTATCAAAGTTAAAATACCGCTAGTTTCTCAATAACATGTCAAAAAGAAATCACAGAAAGCTGTGGAGTGCTGTTCGACAGGCAAGGCCGTGGTACGTCCTTTCCAAAAAACATAAGACACATTCCAAGATCCATCTAAAAGATAGAATTGATCAAGATCTCTGGAAAGCCAATAGTTGACTGTTAAAACTTCAAGTATAAGTATTTATATTTTATCGGCAAATTATAGTCATATAAGTAATCCAAAGTGTCCACTTATAAATTCAGAGCCAAACGTGTTTCATTTTCAACGGTATTGTTTTTCAGCTGGTTTTGAATAATTCACCAATCACTTAAGAGACATTTTGCCACCACACCAACTATAGTGCCAAAAGTCGGTTAAGTAAAATTTTTTGATCTATATATTTTTTTCTATTTTTGGATTCAATGATCAAAACTGGGGTTATGAAAAACTTTTAAGGTCGCTTAGACTTGATTTCGCCGAGTTATAGAATTTATAAAATTAGGTGTATCGAAGATTTTCAAAAAAGCGCCCTCCGTGATTTTTTGCCTATAACTTCGTCAAATTTTATCTG